TAAGGACAGTGTCAGGATTTGACTCAGATGGTTCGGCTCCACGGCCAGAAAACCTCCAGCTACGTGGCTAAGCGCACAAACTGTAGCTGCATCAGAATCACTGGGCAGGCTGGTCAAAACACAGACAGGCCCCTCTTGGAGAATTTCTGATGCTGCAGGTCTGGGGTGGTGCCTGAGAATTTATATTCTAGTAAGTTCCCAGGAGATGCTGCTGCTAGTGGCTCAGGGTCCACACTTTGAGAACCAATGCATTCAGCTAACTCATTTTCTGGGCTGAACTAGAAAGTCTCAATTTGTAAAAATTAAACTCTGAGAAGGGTTGCCAAATAAATACAGATGCTCAGTTAAAGATGAATTTGAATAATTTGAATAAATTGTTCAGTCAAGTAAACAACAAATACTTTTTCAGCTTAAGTATGTCCATGTAATATTTGGCAACACTAACTTTGGATTATACCAGTTATCTGGGCCACAAGGAACAGAAAGCCACAGATGCTAAAAACACTTGATTTTAGTCATGTGTTGCTAAGCCTCGTAACCAAACTAGTTAACACTGTTAAAGGTTAAAAATATGTACTTTCATTCTCTCCATCCTACCAATCAGTAGAATTTGCTAGAAGGCTGGCAGCCAGAGGGGAAAAGAAGCAATAATTGGAGAATTCAGGTTTATTTTATTTAGTTCTATTCCCACCCTCCGCCACTGAAAAAAACAGCTCACCCCAATCTTCAGTTCAAGGAGAATAAACGAGGCAATAGCAACACTACCATTTCTCTCCATCTGAAGAGCCACATTTACAATCAGGGGCTTGGATCAAATGAAATGTTATTTTGAGAAACCCACTCAACATTATAGTTTGGTTCAGTTCACTACTATGAAAAATTGGCTCTAGTTCACACTGGCTTCTCTTAAAGAAGAAAACTTTCTAGTTTCAAGAAAAAACAGGTTAATATTGGGTTTACTGCTCAGGCAATTACCGTTGTTAGTCCAGGCTTCTGGTTCATGTTTCTGCTTACTACTGTCCACTTACTTGCTCCTTGTGAGGTGACAGAAATGTCTCCAAAGGGGATAGTCTTATTATTGGGAACTTCAGCTCGGAAGAGGGGGTTCTCACTATGTCTGCAGAGCTACAGCGTGTATTGACTGTTGCATCAGCCACAGAGTTAGCTCTTGGGCTGAGCCTGGGAACACTGGCGCCTTCTACTCCCCGTTCAATTAGGAGCAAGCCACCAGAAGCATGAGGCTAAGCAAGGAGTCAGCAATCAGGACAACCACATCCAATCTAGTAAACATCGGGGGGCACCTGCCTTCATCAGGGCCGGGCAGAACGTCCCGCGGAGACAGACAGAGCTCTGACTGCAAACACGAGTGGCAGCCTCCCTCACTGCAAACCCCCAGCTCTGAGAACTCACAGAGGGTGGAACACAAAGCATACTTACAGGGAGGTCTGCATAGAAGTAGTGCTTCCTGTCAAACAAGGACTTCTTGTTTATGTGGCAGTTCAGTGCCAGGCCTGTCATCACTGCCGCCTCGACACACCTCCTGTTGAGAACCTATGGAAACATGACACACAGATCCTCTCAGATCTACAATCTGAACAAATGCTGCTCCCACGCACTGACATCCTCCCTGAATATTCAATTTGGTCCTTCAATAGGCATTATCTCTAGTTCTCTGTGTGGGCAGCTGCAGTTCCCAAGCCAACTCTGTTTGTCTGCCAGGGGGAAAACTTTATATAAAAAAGAAAATGCATGTGGCAGTGGGTGCCACTGGGCACTTAATGAACTGCCATATCAGTGATCCTTTACCTGGCATCACAGTTAACAGGGAGGGTCCCAGGAAAAGCTCAGCAGAATGTATAAACTTAATCTCACTCCCTCTGCAAGCAGAATAAGGAGCCGGTCAGAATATATAAAGAGGCACCAGCCCCTGACAAGAAGATCCAAGAAGTTACCCACCAAACCACTCAATGAAGTTGGAAAACACTTTGAGAGAAAGAATGAACTTCTGGAAATCATAGGGCCATTGCCATTTCCTCAAGGCTGGGAACCGGGTGCCGCCTGCCTCCTCACCTTCAGTCCAGGCCTGGCCGACACCCTGAAGGTGGGGCCTGAGTGGGCCCTATGCCCTGACTCTCCCTGAGCTGGACTGAGCTGCTGGTCCCTCAAGGAGCTCCCAGAGTCCAGAAATTCCTTCTGAATCCCACCCTACCCCACTTTCAGGAGCAAATGCCCAAGAAATGGCTAGCAAACTTCCAGCTTTTAAGTACTTGGGGGAGGGAGTGGCTGTAAAGTTAGACAACCAGAGATCAGGAGAAAGAGCAGTAAGTCCTGGGGTCAGACAGGTCCAAACCCTGCTTGTGCTGTGTATATACATAACTGTGTGACTGGAATCCTCACTTTCTTCATTTCTGAAACAGGATTTGACACCCACCTTTCATAGTGGATGAAATGACAGCTAGAACATATACCCTGTGGTCCAAATCCCCTCCTGCTTGGAAGAAACTTTGGAGGATGTTGTGCTTACTGATGAAACATACTTCTTTTTTTATCAGAATGTTTATGATGCCCGTCAGCATACTATTACTTATGTAGGCCTTTCCAGTTAAGCATTCTCACTTCCATTTTATTTCAGCCTCACAGTAACCCAGTAAAGAAGGAATCTGGATTATTCCATATTGCAGAAAAAGAAAAAAACTAAGACCCAGAGATACTGTGACTTGCCCAAATCATAGAGTTGGCAAATGGTAAAGCTAGCTCTAAAGTCCACACACGCCCCTGCCTAGAGGGTGACAATCAGACCCCCTGAGGTTCGGGGACTGGCTCTTGGGCTGGGATGATGAGTGTGGCATCCAACAAGGCACAACCTGTTGATCAAAGTTACCCACCAAACCACTCAATGAAGTTGGAAAACACTTTGAGAGAAAGAATGAACTTCTGGAAATCATAGGGCCATTGCCATTTCCTCAAGGCTGGGAACCGGGTGCCGCCTGCCTCCTCACCTTCAGTCCAGGCCTGGCCGACACCCTGAAGGTGGGGCCTGAGTGGGCCCTATGCCCTGACTCTCCCTGAGCTGGACTGAGCTGCTGGTCCCTCAAGGAGCTCCCAGAGTCCAGAAATTCCTTCTGAATCCCACCCTACCCCACTTTCAGGAGCAAATGCCCAAGAAATGGCTAGCAAACTTCCAGCTTTTAAGTACTTGGGGGAGGGAGTGGCTGTAAAGTTAGACAACCAGAGATCAGGAGAAAGAGCAGTAAGTCCTGGGGTCAGACAGGTCCAAACCCTGCTTGTGCTGTGTATATACATAACTGTGTGACTGGAATCCTCACTTTCTTCATTTCTGAAACAGGATTTGACACCCACCTTTCATAGTGGATGAAATGACAGCTAGAACATATACCCTGTGGTCCAAATCCCCTCCTGCTTGGAAGAAACTTTGGAGGATGTTGTGCTTACTGATGAAACATACTTCTTTTTTTATCAGAATGTTTATGATGCCCGTCAGCATACTATTACTTATGTAGGCCTTTCCAGTTAAGCATTCTCACTTCCATTTTATTTCAGCCTCACAGTAACCCAGTAAAGAAGGAATCTGGATTATTCCATATTGCAGAAAAAGAAAAAAACTAAGACCCAGAGATACTGTGACTTGCCCAAATCACAGAGTTGGCAAATGGTAAAGCTAGCTCTAAAGTCCACACACGCCCCTGCCTAGAGGGTGACAATCAGACCCCCTGAGGTTCGGGGACTGGCTCTTGGGCTGGGATGATGAGTGTGGCATCCAACAAGGCACAACCTGTTGATCACAGATCTCAAAAACAAATCTGTACGAAACGTACGAGGCATCTCCACTTACTGCAACACAATCCCCCAAGGGTAACCCAAACAGCACCTCTCCCTCCTCCTGACAGCATCACATGCCTTTTATTTTTTTTGGAAGCCAGGTTACAAAATGGAGCCACCTCATGGCTTCTGTTTGGAGATTTCATTCTGGGCCGAATAATACTGTGAGCTCTGCAGTAATAATGGTTTCTGTGAAAAACTGTGTGTGCGGGGGAACAGGATGCACTAATTATTGAGATGTTTTCACTTGTAACGTTTGGCATTTCACTGAACAGTTGTTACTGCAATACAAACAGTGCTGGCAGAGGCTGCTGCCAGATCCAAGCCTGACGATTCAGGTCAAGGCACACAAGAACCGGAGGCTGGTACCCGGCCCTGAGCCCTGCTCCTCCTGGGCTGGGCCGCAACACGGGCTCTCCTGTCAACAGCCTGACTCGCCGGTCTATACCAGGTCTTTAGCACTCCCACCATTTTTCTAACCACCACTTTCTCACCTCTGTCCAAGTTGCCCCGTTGGGGCCAACCTGCATCCTCCATCTGGGCATGAAGAGAACCCAGGTTGGTTTCTGCTTGCTTATTTCTGAAATGCACTGGTAACAAACTCTGTGTCTGCACCGTGTGGGAGTGAAGGGGTGAGGGTGAGCACAGAACCTCACTGTGCCTGTATGCACACGAGGACACAGGCCCTTGAACACCAGCAAGTTCCAAAAAGTAAGAACACAGTAAAACACATGAACATGACAGTGATAGTGAATATACTTTAATCTTTTTTTGATGGTTTAGATAGAAGGCTTAAAGTACTTCAGGGTCAGAATTATAAGCATCAATCATTACCACACTACAGTAGCACAGAGGGGCTAGTAAATAGAAAGTGCCAGCTGAAAGGATGCCAAGGAAAAGGAATTTACTATGATCTTTGTCAAGCTGCTTATGACAGATGGAGGTCCAGGTCAGCATGTTCTAAGGATAGGATGCAGAAATGGAAAATTAAACTTGGTCTGTCTTTATTCTGAAAAATGTCTTAAGCATCTATAAACACTAGGCTTTAGGGACACAAAGTAAGTAAGACTCTCACTGGCCTCAATGAATCTGCAGTGGGCATGAACCTGACGGCCTCTCCAACAACATTTTCACGTTCATCTTCCAGACTACGACAATCCTGCTAAAACGTGCATCTTATAGCATTCTGTTGCCTAAAATCACTCTACGGCTTCCAATCTCCAATGATAAAGGCCGAGCTCTTACGTGATCAATTCCTGCCTACATCTTCCAGTTTCATCTCCTATCAAGTCTCCTGCAGCACACACATATGGCCCAGTTCTCCTGTAGAAACATGCTGATCTGCTGACTCTATCTACTCTTATTCTACTAAAAAATCTACTGATGTCACCAAATCTGTGAAACATTCCTTGCTATTCTTCCTATGTTCCTCTCTGACCTTCCACACATTTCCATTTGTGCTTGTATGACAGTGGATTCAATCTGTTTACATGTATTTCCATTAGACTAAGTTTCATGAGGATGGGAAATGTCTGTTCATCCTGGAGCCTAACACAGAACTGAAAAACAGTTGTGCTCAATTAATGTGCATTGAACTCAAATGAGGAGGGAAGTGACTGCTCTAACAAATGGTTTCAGAGAGGCAGTGATGCCCAAATCTCCTCTAAGGCATTACATGACACCTGCTGGCCTTCAAACTTGTTTCTATAAGTGCCCTGAAGCAACAACCCAACCCATCATATATGATGTGATGAATGAACTTGAAAACTCAGAAGACTAATCTGTCCTGAAGAAAGCATGTTCCAGAAATTTGCAACTAACTTAAAGTGACTCCACAGGATCTCAGGGTTAGCCACTCATGTGGAAGGAAAGCAACAGTCCTTGAATTCACACCTTTCTCAACTGAGCCTTACGAGACTTTACTCTGGCTTCAGGAATGATCAACAGTAAGTATTTACTGGGCACTTTAATATCTCAGGAACTGTGTTGTGCCCATCATATACATTTGCATTTAATCTTCTCAGCAATCCTAGGGCAGATACTATTAGGATCCTCATTGCAGAGATAATGAAATGAAGGGAATCACAGAGATGAAGTAATTTGGCCAAGGTGACAGATAAAATAAGTGGCAGGGCCAGAAAGTCAGACACCTAGAACCCACATGTGCAATGGCTATACTGTGGTTTAAATCTTCAAAGAATAAAGTGTGCTAGTGTTTGCCATCAAGATGACTACTACCTAAGTATAACAACGAAGCAAAACTGAAGGAACAAAATAGCAGCAGACTCACAGACTCCAAGAAGGAATTAGTGGTTATCAAAGGGGAGGGGTGTGGGGGGTGGGTGGGGAGGGAGGGAGAAGGGGATTGAGGGGTATTATGTTTAGTACACATGGTGTGGGGGATCACAGGGAAGACAGTGTAGCACAGAGAAGGCAAACTGAATCTGTGGCATCTTACTGTACTGATGGACAGTGACTGCAATGGGGTATGGGTGGGGACTTGATAATATGGGTAAATGTAATAACCACATTGTTTTTTCAAGTGAAACCTTCGGAAGAGTGTATATCAATAATACCTTAATTAAAAATTAAAAAGAAAAACAAAAAGATGACTACCACCTAGCCATTACCCCAGAGCAGCATATCATCCAAATCCTAATGTACATAATTGAAGGCAGATATTGTTTCTCACATTTTCCTCTCACCAGGTT